CAGATCACCTGAGGTCAGGAGTTCAAGACCAGCCTGGCCAACATGGTGAAACCCTGTCTCTACTAAAAATACAAAAATTAGCCGGGCATGATGGTAGGCACCTGTAATCCCAGCTACTTGGGAGACTGAGGCAGGAGAATTACTTGAACCTGGGAGGTGGAGGTTGCAGTGAGCCGAGATCACACCATTGCACTCCAGCCTGGGTAATAGAGTGAGACTCAGTCTCTAAAATAAAAGAAAGAAAATAAAATAAAAGTCTCAGGGACATAAAGTAAAATTGCTTGACTTCTGGAAGGGAAAAATGGCTGTTGGTGTGCCGTGCGTCCGTGTCAGTGGGGCGAGGCCCGCCTCTCTCCCTTGGTCCCGTGTATGGGGAGGACACCCCAGGTGAGACGCCGTCATTAGGAGGCGCTGTGTGCAAAGGAGTGGCTTATGGGGCCAGTAGGGGGAACAACAGCCACGAGTCACCTGAAATCGGACCAACAGTGCCCTCTCACCATCAGATATTGCTGGTTACGCAGTTTCTGAAATTTTAGCTAAAGGAAATGACCTTCCGCGGGCAGGGAAGTGATAGACGAATGCTTATTGCTTATGCACAGTTGCAGACAATTTATTCTTCAGAGAAAAAAAGACTTTTTTTTTTAAAGCAGGCCAGTAAAGCTTTTCTTTGACCCTAATATGCCCCTCATGCCAAAAATGGAGTTTCTTCTGGTGAGATGGACTCCAAACAGCCAGTCAAGCCTGAGGCTATCTTCCCGCTGGGAGGCTGGGGCTCCTGGGGAGACGGGGCTCTCACTGGTCAGGGTGTGCGCCTCCAGAGCCTAGCACCAAGCCTGGCAGGCAGGAGGCGCTGGGAATAACTTGCCGTTTCAATATTTGCTTTAAACTGGGTGCAGTGCCTCACACCTCCCAGCACTCTGGGAGGCCAAGGCAGGAGGATCACTTGAGACCAAGAGTTTGAGACCAGCCTGGGCAACATAGCAAGACCCCCCTCTCTACAAACATTTTTTTTTTTAAATTAGCCATGTATGGTGGTGCACACCTGTAGTACTCAGGAGGCTGAGGCAGGAGGTTTGCTTGAGCCCAAGAAGTTGAGGCTGCAGCGAGCCACGTTCGTACCATTGCACTCTGGCTTGGGCGACAGAGGGAGACTCTGTCACTATAAATAAATGAATAAATAAATGAACAAACTTAAAAAAATGTGCTCTCATTCTCCTCTCCAGCTTTACAAACAAGTCACAGCAATAGTAACACCTTAAGTTCACATGGAGTTGCAGAGAAATACAAACACACATGTACATAAAGATGTGCAAGTGAACGTCAGAGCAGCCTGATTCATGATAACCCAAGGCTGCACACAACCCAAACATCCACCGCCTGCGGAATAGAGAAGCAAAATGTAGCACATCCAGGTATGGAATACTACTCAGCAGTGAAAAGTAACAAATGACCAACATGTGGTACAAGATGGATGAATCTCAAATGTGAAAGAAGCAAGACACAAAATACTACTGTGTGATTCACTTATGTATAATTTCTGGAAAAGGCAAAAACTAAGAAGACACAAAAGCAAGTCAGTGGCTGGGCACGGGGGTTCATGCCTGTAATCCCAGCACTTTGGGAAGCCGAGGCCAGTGGATCACAAGGTCAGGAGATTGAGGCCATCCTGGCTAACACGGGGAAACCCCATCTCTACTAAAAATGCAAAAAATTATCCGGGCGTGGTGGCGGGCGCCTATAGTCCCAGCTACTCAGGAGGCTGAGGCAGGAGAATTGCTTCAACCTGG